GCTGAATCTGTCTCACCCCTTGCTTTGAACCCTGGTCTCTCATCTACTCTCTCTATATAAACATACTTTTTTTTCTATTGAAGTATAGTCAGTTTACAGTGTTGTGTCAATTTCTGGTTTACAGCATAATGCCTGTCATACATGAACATACATGTATTTGTTTCCATACTCTTTTCACCATAAGTTACTACAAGACCATCTACTCTTAACTTCATACCTGGACACTCCTCTTGGTCCAGGGGTGTCTTAGAATTTTAGAAAAATTCTCCCTATCTGGCCCTTTGCTGAGATAACTCCCGTGCCTTGTCATATGAAAGCCCTAGGTCAAGCTAGACATCCTCCTAACACAAATCTACACTCCACATTGCCCACTGGCAGAAGTCTCGGCGGCAAATGGATGGGAGTGGGTATAGAGTGATGATGCTTGTTCTTGACTTGAAACAAATGACCTCTCCCTGCCAGACTCTCTGGTGACTGCCCTCCAGCCACAGACACAATGACCTCTAAGCTCCGCACATCCAAAGGGCCTCACTTCATCTTCCTCCACTGCCTCCTTTATCGTTCCTCTTCCCCGAGAAATTCACTAACGAGTCCTCAGAGTTGCTCTTACTTTCAAACGAATCTCTTCAAAGAAAAGGTAAATCTCAAATCTTTGGTAAAAGCTGAGCACGCTGACTGGAATGTTCTCTGCTCAATCTCTTATTTCTCCTGATCTCCCCTAGCTGTCTGTTTGGTCACCTGCCTGTTAGGAGACAGCTGGAGATGCCATTCTTAGACTCCAGTAGAGGGCACTGTAGTTCTGGCTTTTCAAACAGGAGCACGAATGGCACAGTTCAGCCAAGAGCGAACTGGCCAAAGCCGCTGAGCCCCCTCTGCCTTTCTAAATGGATAAACCTACTGAAGTTACAGGCATGTCTTTTGGAAACACCCATACGTCTCGTAGCTGCTACAGACCATCATCCCCATCCACCTGAAACTGGAGGGAAGAAGGTATTCAAGCTCCTCATAGCCACAGTCTGCCAATGCCCAGGGAGAGGGCACCTCCAAGGTGGCTGACTGTGTCTGTCCTACAGCAGAGGTCCCACTTTTTCCACAGGAGCTTGGCCTTTCCCCACTGGTTTTCCCCACTGGGACTGGTCCAATCCACTGTAGAGTGGCCCACCAGGTTCCAGTTCTCTCTGCTCCCCCGATGCTTGACATAGGAAATACTATTCCACGTTTCAAGTGGAGCTCAGGGAGGCAGGTAATATCATCATGTCCCCCTCCCAACTCAAGGCTTCTCCAGAGTGAGCAGACACCCTTGATGGGGTCCCCATTGACCTGTACACAGCGGAGCCCTCAAAGAGGCTAGTTCTATTAGTTCGTGGTTTTCCTTAGTCCTTGCTCTTTCTGGAAAGCCCTGATTAGACAACTACAAGAGCCTGTTTAGTGTCGTGGTTAAGAGCATGGGCTCAGGAGCCAAACTGCTTAGGTTAAACTCATGTCTCTGCCATATGCTAGTTTAAGTGAACTTAGCTGGACAAATTACTAAACTTCTCTGGGCTTCTGTTTCTCCATTTAAAAAATAAGGTGATAAGAGTACCTACCTTTTATAGTTGTGCTGAACACATTCACTGACACATTAGCTCTTCTTACTGTTGCTATCTCTGGAAGATCCATGTCATGCATTTCACATCAGCAGTCTGCAACCAGCACTACGCCTCTCTGTTATCTTGTGCCCTGTCTACTTCCCCTGTGTTCAGAATGCTGAACAAGTGACCACTCTGAGGAAGATATTTTTGGACACAGAGGCAAAGGAACTGCCCCTATACATAAAATGTGCCCTGGAGATTGGGTCTGGTTCCCATGCTCCTTTCCACTTCCTCCCAAATCACTGACAACTTCCTTAAATCAGGGAAAACGGTAAGAGCAAGGTAGCCTTCCAAACACACTTTAGCCAATTCCAATCTACGTTAATGCTCCAGCCAACGTCAAGGGATTAATGCCCCGCATCTGATATGACCTCCTAGGCAGGAGTCATATTTTACGTACAATATCACATTGTCTCTCAAACTAATCTTGCATGAATCTCCAGTCAGGGTGGTGTTACTCTGCTTGCAGCGACACCAACTTTAAGGCAACTGCAAGCAATGTCTGTTAGATATTATCACCATTATGTACTAACATTCTGGAACAGACAGGCAAATACCCTGACCTGAAAGTCAGAATTCTGGGAGCCACTGAGGTAGACCCATCCTAAAAATTCTTCAACCTGAAAACATCAGGGAAAATCAGCCCCAGTTCCAACTAACAGAGGCAATGGGCAAAGTAGTGGAAAACTAAGCTTTTGTGACCACCCCAGTGGCCCTGGGAAGCCTGTAATACTGAGAAATCTGCAACATTAATTTGGATAAGTGGAAGACCCATGCAAGTACTTTATATTACCCCAGATGTCCTTCAAGGTCCATTCAAGGCATTAAATGTAGTCTTATGGTAACTCCTAACCTATGGCCCAGTTCTAGAAGAAGCTGTCAGGGCCCTTCATGTCTGTTTACCACAAAAAACCGTATGGAGCATCGTATTAATTGGGTGGATGAAGAACCTCTGTTATACCATCTACCAACAAAATGATGGATTCATCTACCTTGCCGCAGTGGAGTTTGCTTATAAAGAGTTCATTGCATCCCTTCCAAAGGTGGCTTCCAAAAATTGGCAGCTTGGGTAAGCCACAAGTTACCAAAAATATCTTCCAGCTTGCCAAAAACTGATCAGAGGAATATGCCAACTGGTGCTTGATTCAAGAGGAAGACATCCAAGTGGGTGATATTGTCCAGTACACCTCTAAGCACCCAATAACCCAAGCTGGGAAGCTGGGAGCCTACTACTCCAAAAGGGAGATAACAGACAGCATCACCTGGCTGTACCCTTAAGAACAATCAATCTGAAGCCTCAGGACCAGGTAGAGTTCCCACTGTCACCTGCACCCAGACCAGTAATTACTTGCAGTCCAGGTCCCACTGCCCACTAGGAATATGCTCTTTGTCTTTCCCCTCAGTCTACATTTACTTGGCCATGGACGCTCTGCCACCCTCACCTAGCCCAAAGTCAAATGACCAAACTCAAATGACACTGCTTCTAGGGACTGGCCCCTTATTGCTATAACCTGCGATGAAGTACAAATCCAACCCCTGGTTTGCGCCAGGCTTCCCCACTCCAAGTCCTCAACTGTGGATGGAGGGGATTCACATAGTGCCCCACTCTGGTGGTGTGATTATCTCAGACAGAGAATGTTAAAGGAGATTTCCACTGGAGTACAAAAGGGATGGGGGAGGGACAGAGACAATGAATGTGTGGGGCCAAGCCAGGATGAAGGAGAAAAGCAGGAGCTGGGAAAGAGCTTCAGAACAGATGGGCATCTCCACCATCCACCCGAGGTGAGCCCACAATCTCAACAACTTCCAGAGAGAATGGCAAACTTTGATCCAGTTCCTGTCAAGCTCAGGACTCTGAGATGCAAGCCAAATCAAGCCTATTTAAGCAGAACATGAATTTATTGAAAGAATATTGGTGGGATTACATCAAACTGAAAAGCTTCTGCGCAACAAAGGTAATCAACAAAATGAAAAGGCAGCCTACAGCATGGGAGAAAATATTTGCGAGCCATATATTTGATAAAGGGTTAATATCCAAAATATATAAGGAATTCCTATACCTCAGTAGCAAAAAAAAAAATCTAATTAAAAAATGGGCAGAGGATCTGAAGAGACATTTCTCCAGTGAAGAAACACAAATGCCCAACAGGTACATGAAGAGATGCTCAATATTACTAATCATCAGGGAAATGCAAATTAAAACCATAATGAGATATCACCTCTCACCTGCTAAAGTGGCTCTTATCAAAAAAAAAAGATAATAAGCACTGGCAAGGAGAAAAGGGAACCCACGTGCACTGCCGGTAATGTAAATGTATGCAGCCACTATAGAAAACAGTATAGAGATTTCTCAAAAAATTAAAACAGAACTACCATGTGATCCAGCAATCCCACTTCTGGGTATATACCCAAAGGAATTAAAATCATGATCTCAAAGAGACATCTGCACTCTAATATTCATTACAGCATTACTCACAGTAGCCAAGACACAGAAGCAATACAAATGTCTATCCACACATGAATAGATTTTTTAAATGTATATACCTGGTCGGGCATAGACACTGCTGCACTCAGTGCTGTGGTGGGCACTGCTGGCACCAAGGACACTGGGCCCTGGAAACTGCTGCTAGAAACACGATGCAGCTTCACTGCCCCAACTTCCATCAACAGAAGAAGACTTGACATGATCCCTGCTTCTTTGCAACTTCATCTGTGATTCAAAATCGGAAGATGTGTTGGTTGGCCTAGCCAAAAACTCTTTGCCCTTGTCCTAGCTACAAGAGAGCCTGGGGATCTTAACCTGCCCTACTCTATAGCCTCGCCAGCCCCAGGCCCTGTCCCTCTCCACTTAACCCAGCACTAGTCAGGCTCTAAATCAATAGCAAACTGAGACCTCTCTAAACTTCTAACACACTTGGTATGTCGCTGCCTGAAATGCTCTTCCTGACACTTCTATGTCCCACGAATTCCTTCTTATCCTCCAAGATTTAGCTTAAACATAATTTCCCCTATTAGAGCAACTGAAGCTCTGCAAGTATGCCAACCCCAGGAAAGGCATCTCCACCCAGATAAGGGGCCTTTCTCACCTGCACTAACCAGAAGTATTTGTCAATATCCTGATTCCAGCAGGTCACTCAAAACCCAGGAGCCAGGGAGAAGCAAGAGAGCAGAGAGGGAGGTCTTGTGATCACTGGGTTCTTCCTCCCTCTCCTTTGTCACAGGCATTTTGATTTGGCTCCTGAGATCCCGAGAATCTGATGTGAGTGTCTTGGAGAGATGCCTGCCACCACCTGGTTGGCATGGAGTCTACAGACTCGGAAAGTCAGCCCCATTTGCTAAGTACTCAGAGGAAGTCTGCTCTCATTTCAGACCAGAAGGAATCAGTGCCCACGAGGCTTCCCCCTATTATCTCAGAAGATGGGAATTATTCTGTGCACCAGAATAGCCACACAAGGTACCACGAAGCTGTACGGAAGGTGTCGTTAAAGACATGTAAGTATGTTGAATTAGGCACCATGCTATGGGGCAGAAAAGATGTGTCTGAGTTCCCAGAGAATGGTGGGATGTGGTGGGGCATGGTTTTGGGGGCAGGGGGAAAAGCCAAGAAGAGACTGAGAGAAAGGAGACTTGAATGGTAGGGTAGGTAAGATAAAATATCTGAATCAGACTTAGAAACAGAAGATCCAGGGGTGAGTCCTAGTTCTGCCTCTTTTAAGTGTCTCACCTTGGGTGGTAGTCACTTACCCTTTATTAAACTGCTTCCTCATTCATTTAAAAAAAAACAAAACAGAAAATGCCTACTCCACCAATCTTACAGAATTGTAAGGATCAAAGTTTTGGAATTTGAACTGAGTTTAAACTTCAAACAAGTTGTGTGACCTTGGGCAAATTCCTTTCACCACTTAACCTCTCTGAACCAAATGAAAACTGCAATAATACTCTAGCATTGCTGTTAAAGTTAGAGAAAACATACATTTTAAAAAGCATTTAGGACAGCCTACTGATAAGGCAAATACTTGTAGGACTCTCCAGGGAATTACGCTATGTGAAGAAAGCCAGTCCCCAAAAGATCATATACTGTATGATGCCATTTATATAACATTCTTAAGATGACAAAATTATAGAAATGAAGAGCACGTTGTTGATTAGCAAGGGGTAGAGGGAGGGGTATGTGACTATAAAAGGGCAACTCTAGGATCCTATGGTGATAAACCGACAAAACCTTATCAACATGTGAATACCCTGGTTGTGATATGGTACTATAGTTTTGCAAGATATTACCACGGTCGGGGCTGGGGGGATGTGGGTAAAGGGTACACAGGATCTCTGTGTATCGTTTCTTACGACTATATATGAATGCGTAATTATCTCAAAATTCAAGTTTAATTAAAAAAACTAAAATACTTTCAGAAATTTAAAAAGATAGGTGTGAAGAGTAGCTGTTATTTCTAACAGCAAAACTTTTTTTTAAAAGCTTATTATCAATTAATAGGAAAACAACCAAGTCAAAAATGTAACATCTATTCAATGGTATATCAGGGATTTTTAAAAAATAATGATTATAAAGACTATATAGACAGAATATTAGGCCATAATTCTAAATTTTAAAAATATACAAATTTTATACACTGATATATTTAGATTTATCCAAATAAATAGAGTGAAAATACAAAAAAAACTAGGTAAGTCAAGTGATATTATTTCAAAATTTTAAAAACACCTAAAACAACATTTAGAACATAACAGGTACTTGATAAATGGTATATATTAGCAATATGTAAAGATATCGTGGTAGTATCATTGCTAAATTTCAAAGAATTACTTGGAATGAACAAAGGGGAAAAAAAAGGAACCAGCAGACCCATCTTGCACATTTTCCATGTGGGCTGACCCATTATTTTTCCACCACCTTAGCACTTGGGGAAAGCTCTCTTGGAGATGGGCTTACAGTGGAAGCAGGAAGAGCAAAGACCGATTCAACTGACCATGAAGGGTGTGAGAGGCTGGAATCCGGAAGTGAAGCTGGGTGTGATGACCAAATTTCCAGGACTTCTCAGCACCTGGTCAGGCCCAGTTGCTAGGCTGGGCTCGTGATGCCCTGAGGCACAAAAGGGAGCAGAGAACTCTAAGAAATTGGATAACCTGCCCTTCTCCCAACCATTCAGTCCCCAACCAGGTCTTCAGAGTCCCTCTGACTGATGCTCAGAACTTCAGCTTCTGGCGGTCCCACACTCCAGGAGTGCGCCCAGAGGAAGCCATGCCGTGGATCCGGAGCCCCCGCCACTGCCTCATTAAAAGCCCAATGACCAGGTTAGGCCGGGAGGGGTGAGGGTGGGGAGATCTCCCTCCCTTAAATCCTTGGAGACCGTTTTATTTCTATCCAGAGTTGGGAAATGGACAGAGGTGTCGGTCTTACCAGGGAAAACTGGCCCCAGAATCTGGGCAGTGTTGGCATAAAAAGGAGCTAAAGACTTGCCTGTGTCTTTGCTTTTCACCTTATGGATATGTTTTCTGAACAGACACAAGTATCTGCTCCCTTCCTGTGAGAGGCTTCCCTCCATCGCCACCTCCCCATCCCTCTAACCACCACCCACTGGCAGGAGCCTTCCTTCCTCACTACCCCTGCCCATCCTGCCCTGAGGCAGTCTTGGGAGCTAGGTTTAAGGGCACCACCCCTTCCCCCAACCCCCAGCCTAACCTGGCTGAATCTGAGACCCCATCTCTTTTCCAGGTTTATGGATCACTCCATTCTCAACGACAGAAACTTCAGTCCGTATTGAGCAGGATGTTTGCAGGAGGACAAGATAGACTGTGGATAGAGGGCAAAGAAGGGGAAAGAGGGAGGTGCCCTGGTTTGGACAGCTGACTACTGGGAGGAGGGGATGGAGAAAGCAGAATAAACAGAGTGGATTAAAAGTCACTTCTGTGCACTGGAAGTAAGGGGGAGGGAAATTATTCCAATACCCAAATTTTTGTGAGATCAGGATTGTGAGAGATTCCTAAAGGAGCTAGAACTTGGTGTTTGGCTTGGGAGGGGCCAGGGCACTGGAAAGACCACCACAGGGGGTCCTGACCTCATGCACAGTGGGGGTCAGAGTAACAGATCTGGGAAGACACACTGGTCCTCATCCTGCTGAAGGGCCTAGAGCAGTCACACTCTGAGGACACTGCAGCTCCACCTTGGCAGGGAGGAAACCAGAGGAAGCCCTCTGATCGTAGATGAGAGAAGTCCACAGAGCCCCCTGGCAGAGGCCTGCTCCTACACCAGGCTCTGCCACTTCTGACCCAACCCAGGGCCCAGAACAGCTGCAGAGAACAGGGAATTTTACAAAGAGTTTGATTTTTATTGATATTTAAATATATTAAATATTTCACTGAAATACATGGTACACCACCCTCCCCCGCTCCCACAGTGGTTACATTATAAAACCAAAGTCCATGGGCCTCCCATCCATTGACTCCCCCACCAACTGGCAAGGGTGGGGGGGTGGGCAGTGGCAGCCCAGGGGAAGCGCGTGGCTGGCACTGTGGTATGGGGAACCAGGGTGTGGACAGGCCCTTCCCACCTGGCATGAAGCAGAGACAAGTCACCCAAGACTGCGGTCTTCCCACTCTGACCTTCTTACAGCCTCATCCCCACCCCAGGACCCAGGGAGTCCCTTCCTATCCAGGGATGTGGCTGAGGGAAGGGGAGATGACTTTCTATCTGGACCAACTAGTCTTTTCCCCTTTCCCTGCCTTGGCTCATGAAGTGATTGATGGCCCATCTGGTTGATGCCGAAGGAAGATCCCCCAAGGCAGGCAGTGCAATCCAGAAACCAGGCCTCTGCAAGGAGCTAGAGTCAGATAGGGCATGAGGAAGGGCAAGAGTGCCACCTGCCTCTTCTACTCCCCAAACCCAGCAGCTCTGCCTCTATCCTCTGCCTCTCTAACTGCCTCTAAGACAAAGCAATCTTCAAGCAAAATTCAGGCTAATACCTCTGGCTTAAATAGGTACAGACAGAGAAACCAAGGCACCAACTAGGTCAGGACAGAGGCGAGGAGGTTGCAGGGAGTTGGGTAAAAGGTAGGCAGGGATAGGAAGGGAATCTGGAGTCCAGTCTCCTAATCTCCTGGCAGCCCTTATGGGCTTTATGGGGATGGGAGAGCCCAGGGCACACCGGGCTTAGGATGAAAGCTGGGGAAGAGCGAGGTCCAGGTTCCCCTCCTCTCTCCCCTAGTACCAGAATCTGGGTCCTCAGAGGGATCCCATGCAACCCCAGCCCCAAAGCATACCGTGTCCCAGGACACCAGCTGGGAACCCAGGAAACTCCTGAGTCTCTGCCCACCAAACCTCAGAGAGTTCAAGTGCAAGGAGCAGTTCAAGCAGGCGCTTGGGTCCCTGCCCCAGGCAGGGAGACAGTCAGGCTGCACACATGGCCCCCAAATGGCACTTAGGGATTTGGCACAAAAAGGACTCCTCTCCCCAGGGCCACCCTCCTCTTGCTACCACACCCCATCCCACTCTTGTGCAACCTGGGCATCTCTCTCCATTCCTTGAAATCAGAAACCCTGCCTTATTCCCAGAAGACAGGCCTGCAGGAGAGAGGCAACCCAGGGTGGAGAGCCGAGGAGCAGGAACACAAGGACACAGACCACCGTGCACGCATGGTTACACAGACACACAGGCCTTCCCCTGTGCCAGAGGCTTGGGAGGACGAGCTGGGGATCAGGGTCATCTTCCCCCACGCCCTGGCCCTTTTCTATTTGGCAACAGAAGGGGTAGAGACGCTCCATGCCCCCTGCCAGCAGACAGCAAGAAAGCGCTGGGGCAGAGTGGAGTGATCCTGACCCCATCAGGGCCCTCACATCAGAGTCTGGCACCACCCCAGGCCCTGGCCAGCCTGCTCTTTGGCACCTGCAAGTGAACATCCAGCTCCTGACCTTCTGACGTCCACACACATGCTTGCTCTCTGGCGGGGCATTTTCACAGTACCACTGGGACCAGATGCCCCTTTCCCGGGAGCTGTGCAGGAACTAGAACTAAATCTGAGCTGTCAGAAGTCCCTTGGTTCCCCTTTGGGGACAGACTCTGGGACTGGGATTTGGCAAATGGAAACATTCCCCTGAAATATGGACAGAGTGGGAACCCAGAGCATTTCCCTCCTGTGTCATGTGTAGGAGGGAGACCTGGCCAGGGTGGGGGGTGCCCAGGACCGGTGCTGGGATGCAGGCACAGCAAAGGCAAGCATGGAATAGGCACTCTTCAAGCCTGCCCCAGTCTTTGTACAAAATATTCCCAGGAAAAAGAGGGAAAGGAAGGGCCCAGCCTTGAGCCTATTGCCCAGACAGATGGGAAAAGGTAGGCGTGGCAAGCTGCCATTTTAATATCTCAGGCAAGGGGGCTCCTCTGCTGCTCCCCCTGCCCTGCTCCAAAAGCTGGAAAAAAGGAGAGAACAGCCCTACCCCAATTAAAAAGAAAGTCACTTGCATAATCCTCTTGGCATCCCCTCGTTCACCAGCCTGAGGGCAGACGCGCATAGTCCAAGCACAGCCTGTTGGGTGTTCCCTTTCGTGGTGGTCAGCAGGGTCTGGAGGCCCAGCGTCCCCTGCCACAGCTTCACCCAACGGCACAGAGTCCACTCAAATGCCCACCTTGGTCCTTTCAGCTGAATTTGTAGCCGGGCCCTGCTAACTGCTGGGGCCCCCATTGAGGAAGTAGGTGGTCATCTCTCCCTTGCCCTTCACCTTGACCACCCCTCGACACTCCAGCTGGTAGCCCTTGGCCGCTAGAACCTGGTACAGATCCGTGGTCACCTGGGGGGGGGATGGGGGGCCTGCTTAGCCTGGGATCCTTCCTGCTGCACTTGCAGGGGCCCAGGGGTTCTCCAGTCACGCTAGCTTCCCTACCCCATCCCCACCCCACCAGCCACAGAACACTGCCACCCTACCCGTCCTAGCTAACTGCACAGAAGGACATGCAGAAGCCCTCTGGACCCATACCCCTCCCAGCCTCTGCTCGCATTCCCCTTACCTGGATTCGGTCAGGGACCCCCGTGCTGTCCATACGGCTGGAGACATTCACTGTGTTCCCCCAAATGTCATACTGTGGCTTCCGAGCCCCAATGACGCCTGCCACAACTGGGCCCATGTTCAGACCTGGGGTGGGTGGGGACAGTAGTACAAAAATTGAGAGTAGTCAATGTAGGCACCCCACCTCCTGGCACCTTCAGAAGGATGGAGAGAAGAAAGTGGAAAAGGCACAAGTCTCCTGAAGAATGGGAGATGCAGGCCTGCCATCGGAGGAGCTCCCCTGCTGTGTGTGAGCACTGAATGCTCGCTCTGTACCAACCACTCTGGTAAGCACTTTACACTATCTTGTCCTCTCGACAGCCCTACAAGGTGGGTACTGTTTATCCCCATTTTATAGAAAAGGTAACTGAAGCTCAGAGAAGTTAGGTGATTTGCTAAACAAGAGTAAGTGGAACAGTCAGAATTCAAACCAGATCATCTAACTCCAGAACCATTGTGATTAACCACTCCCATCCACCAGTTCATCTGAGAGGAAGGGCCTCTCAAACTGGCCAGAAATAAGGACACTGGTACTGGAGATTATAGATAAACCTGGTCTTGAATCCTAGTTTAGCCATTTACTAGTTGCATGACCTTGGGGCTGAGTTATTTAATCTCTCTGAGAGTCCTCTCTAAAAATGCCTGGGACAGAGCCTGGCACATCATAGGCCCTCATCAAATGATCTGTATTCTTAATACCAGACGATATAGGCAGTGGGAGAAAAGGGAACCCCCACAGGACTCCCCATGGGGAATCTGAGATGCCATCCCCGGCCTGTGGCCTCAGCTTCACCCAGAAACAGCCCTGGGGAAATCCGCCATCAGCCCAGCCCTCTCACCAATCTTCATCTGGAAGTTGTTGAAGGAGTGCTCGTTGATGTGCTTCATCTGCTCCATGAGCCGCATGGCGTAGTCTGCGAGGGCAGTGATGTGGGAGCGGCCCACCTGATCATAGGTGCTGGCGTTCAGCCCAGAGGCAGCCATGTAGGTGCTACCAATCGTCTTTATCTTCTCCAGCTGCCGGAACCGCTCCTCACTGATGATCTGGATAGCACAGGGGGACCTGGCCATCAAGGCAGAGGCCAAACCCAGCCCTGCTGCAACACTCATGCTGTGCCACACCCTGGCCCCCTTCCCCACTCCCCTGTCTCAATAGCTCTCATCCTTTTAGTAAGTGAGCCCCTCTTCCAGCTGCAGCTCTCAGTGCAGGGCTAAGGAGCCAGGAAACAGCCCCCCTCACCGGGAAGCCATTAGGACCCAGGCCAGGACGTGAGCACACAGCTTCAGGTCAACCTCGCCAGCTCACTCACGGAACCAAGAACCACAGGGGAATGCTGGGCATTAATTATTCCAACCCTCATCTTTTGGGAAACTGAGTCCCAGACTGAGAAAGTGCCTTCCCTGCAGAACAGGGAACAGCCCGTTCCTGCCCTGGATGTTCAGGACATTTCTTCACATTTTGCTTCCATTTTTTTCTATTCAGGGGACCATCTTGCTTACTTGGCCTGTCATGGGGCTCTGTCCACAGACTACTGGCTTATTCTTCAGTGACATCCATCTGGTACCTACCCTGGCGCCTTCACAGATCCTCACATCCTCCTCTGCTCCTCACCTCTGCCGCACTAGGGCTGACCTCCTTACTGCCTCTGACACCTTCATAAGTCCCTGTCCCTGACTCTGTGGTACCTACCTTTCCCCTGTCATCTCTGGGTCCCATCAGATCTCCCTT